AAAAAAATCCGTTGCTATCATTTAGCAAGACAATACTAATGCTGTTTATCATCTGTGATTGAAATGAATTTAATAAAAATGTGCAACATGTTGAGACCTTTTGGGGAGCCATCTTAAGCTGTCATGCCGAAGCTAATTAATTTGCATCTTTTAGCTATAGTACTTGCAGTGTCTCCTTGTATATATGTCAAAAGTTGATAAGGGTATATAATGCATTATTGAGTAATAGGTCACTAAAATTCTATTAATCATTAACAAAAAGAATAAATAATAATACAGGAGAGGACTTAGCCCGTCTTGACTCGGAACCCAAGCGCACAATATCCTTTTCTCAGCTTTGGAATTAATTCTGATCAGAATCAGATAGTCTTTTCTCAACAACAAAATGAGATCTATCAAAATCTCATTTCTAGAACTACAGAAGTGGAATCTTTCTTCCTCAAAATCAACACACTAACATGTCGTTTTCTGTTTTGAGGGAATAGACTCATTTCTTCAATTATTTACACATGCTGATTAATTAATTGGTGGACTGGTGATGAAATGAATAATTCAGAAGCTCGTCTCAAAAAAATTATGATATTTTCTCTTTCTTCTGGTTGGAAAGAAAACTAGCAACTAACGTTTGCTTATCTTGTCTTTCCATTATTAGACATGCTAAACCGCTGGTACTTGGCTCTCAGTTTTCCATAAAAAATTCAATTCCATCTTGGTAGAGATTTGAGACTTGTGCCCTGCTGCATATAGATAGGGGTGGCCATGATCTGACGAGCTAATTGAATTCGTCTCATGAAAAGTTCAACTCGGCTTGGCTTAGTTCAATCGAATTTTGAACTGAGTTTGAGCTTAACTTATAGACTCGTTTATTAATCGAGTCGAGCTCCAGCATAATAAAACTTGGCTTGTAAGGCTTGCGAATCGGCTTGAATAATTGCATACATACATATATACATATAATAATAATAATAATAATAATAATAATAATATATAAAATTATAGAAAATAATATATATAATATAACTAATTATTATAATTCTTAATTTTTTAAATATCAAATAAAAAAATTTTATATATAATTTTTTTTTTATTTTTACAAAGCATTTCTTTCAAGCCAAGCTCGAACTCAACCCTTGTACTACCTTAACAAGCTGAACTCGAATATATATATATATACAAGGAATGAGTGACACAAGGGATATATATATATATATATATATATATAGAGTGGTCCATAATCCAATAGTTTAAGCTTCTGGGTTATAAGTAATTTCCATCTCTTGTACGTAAGTTCTATATGCATGTAGGTAATGTATAACAATATTCAATGATTCACGAATTCAAATTGGATTTGGATATCAAATACCATTAATAAATTGAAAAATGACCAAAATAGAATTATATATCATTAAGAAAATGAACTAAAAATATCTTTGATATCGTAATTCATAAAAGGAGGATTTGCATATGGATATCCATATTTGATCCCATTATAAATGGGTCAAAATGGAATCACACCTTTAATAGTGGATTTGGGTTCGGACAAGCAGATACGATATTTGAAGCCTTACTTGGATACCTTTCGTGAATTTTGAATATATTTTAATTAATATAAATAACTGCAATGGCACACGTGAAAAATATTTCTCTTTGCATATTACATCAACGTTGTTTCACAATTCAAACATTGGTTACAGACTTGGACCGGGACTCTAACAATTGGTTAGGTGTTATTCACTTTTATTTCTTGAGGTCTAGAAGAAACATAATTGGAAGAAAGCCAACGATGAAAGGGGGGAGAGATGGGTAAGTCTCCCCTACCCTTCTTTTTGTCACATCAGATTTCTTTATGTATTTGATTCATTTTTCTTTATATTTTACCGAGACCCCCATTCAACACATCTATGATTAAAACCTATTTTATGCATTTATATATAATTGATAGAGAGAGAACCTCTGTATTAGTAAACTGAATTTTCTGCCCACTATTCTCTACCCACACTCTATCCGTCACACATCGTCATCTTTTATTGTGAGATATGTGTCTGCAATGTACTGTTGGTAGGGTATGGGTAGAGAAAGTGAATAAAAAATCTGTTGATCACATTTCCTCCCCACAAGGGGCCACCCCACAGCACATCCCTGCTGTGTATTGGGAACATCTCCCGATGATATCATCATCGGAACTGATACTATCATTGAGAGATGTTCCCAATACGTGACGGGCATCTGCTATAGGATGTTGTGGGGCAGAGATGTGAACTCTACAATGGGTTTAGGAAATACCATCAGTTGCTCATACATATGTAACTGTACATATTTCTGGTGTGTTTATTCCTGAATGGGTTTCGTTGCCCATTGTACATGCTTTGTTTGGAGCAGATTGTCTCTCATGTAATTAGTTATCTATTTGAAAGGCTGTCATTTGTCAAATCGAAAGGTCTAACCTGTGGGGAAAAGCTCCTTGCAACTTGCAAGGCCAAACCTCAAGTGGGACTTCATCCATGTGGTTCTTGGAAGAGGATGGATACCTTGAATTGAGCTTTGTTAGGCAATAGAATACTTTGGCTACATGGCTAAGATTTCGAGAGTACTGAAAGATTTCTCTCGAAACCCTTTAAGAAAATGTTGGACCAAAGTTGTTGAGAAACTAGGTCTAGACTAGGGTGATTCACCAAGTCATCAAATAAAAAAATAAAACATATATATATATATATCAAGGCAAAATCTATGATGCGGGAAATTAAGATACCATATCGAAAGAGTTTTGATTAATCAAAACCTATCCATGAATTTTGATAAATAACACTTGATATCATATCTTTTCCATATCTGATTGGTCAAATAACACTTGATAAGATACCATATCTTTTCCATAAATAACACTTGATAAATAACACTTGATATCATACTATTTGATTGGTCAAAAAATTTTCAGATATCATATCTTTTCCATATCATAACCGGACCCTATAAAAAATTAAATCAACATACGGGGTGTCTGATTCATGGTTGTGTTGGTGTTTCATTTGCTTCACAAACACTTCCGAAACCAGAGCAAAGACAAGTGATTCAATACCAAAACATAAATGTTCTAGAACCAGCAAAATGGCCTTCTTTTGAATACAACCTTTTAATCTGTCTCAACTAAAAAATACAGTTTGGTGATGTATATGTATACTCACACACCAATATGGCTCCAGCCATGATGTCTCTATTTGATGATGACCATACAATCAAAAGTAGATAGTGAAAATACATCTACTTTTTATATTTATATGAATCACACAATTGATGCTCACGTGACAGAACATCCTCTTAGCTAGTGAAGAGTTATGGTTTAACTAGAATGGTTTAAAATCAGCCAAGAGTTTTGTGATACCTTAGCCTTTCGAATATGAACAAATATATCAAATTTGCCAAGTCATTTTGTTCTTGATTTTTTGATGATATGGGTTTCAAGTTATTGGAAACTTTAAAATTTTTTCAAGGGAACATTACTTAAACCTCCCCTATACTTTGACATTGCAAAAAACACCCTTCATCTAGGGGTGCAAATGGATTGGATCATGATCTGATCCGATCTGAGATCCAATTCTATTTAGTTGAATTTGGATCACCCCTGTTCGGATTTTTGGATCATAATAGGATCCTATCAGAAATTGGATTGAATTTAGATCACCCCCATCCAATCTGGGAAGATCCAATCCGATATATTATATTTATAAATATAAATATATATATATAATACATATATATATATGTTATTTATTTATTAATAAATATATTTTTATATTATATTTTTATAAAATTTGTTATATTATTTATTTTTTTTATAAAAAACATGTATATATATGATGGAAATACTTGTATTTTTGTTTTTTTACTTTATTTAAATTAGTATATTATATATTTATTTTAATAATTCATTAATTTCCAAAGAAAACAAGTAGGATCGGATCAGATCTGAAGATCTGACTTACCAATAGGATTCAAATTCAAATCAAGTCTTATCAGATTTGATTAGATCCGACATGAACAATGTCAGATCAGAATTCAAATATACCCTGAATCGAATCCAATCCAATCCTTTTGTATCCCTACCTCCATTTGTCAAATAAATATGTAAGTGCACATCTCCTTCATAAATTATCCAATAAGGGGAGATGATGAAATTATAATTATTCCCTAAATGTTATTGAATTTGCACAATGAACACCACAGTTCTCTCTTAGGCTGCGTTTGTTTGCATTGTAAATATGAACCAGTATAATTAACACTTTGGTCCAATTTTGTTGGCGTTTAGATAGAGTGTAGTAACACATTGAATTAATGTAAAACTCTACTCACATCGAGTTTTACATCAATAATCGATATAAATATAACTTCGATAAAAATGTATCAATATCCATTTACAACGATCATTAACTTTAAATCGATTGATGTACAACTCCATCAATATAATTTTACCTTTACACCACATTCAAACGCAGATATAAATATGGCACTTTTAGTAATAGAGGAGGTTAAACTGTTAAACTTCAAACCCAACTTGGCCTTTGTTATTCACTTGATTAAAGTAATGAAGGATGAAAAGTATTTAAATAAAGTGAACCACCTTTTTGGGGCTTTTGGGATAGCTCAATAATAATCTTCTGCCAAAATATAAAAATTTAAAAATTTAAAACCTTTACATCAGCTTTTTCCATCAAGATGATTAATGGAGTCAGGAGACTTCTTGAGGTCAAAATACATGGAAGGTTTTCCTTAATATCTTATTGTTTTTTACATATATTATTATTTTTCTATACAAATAGGTAACATTTTTTTATGTTAGACCCATATATATATATATATTCGAGTGAAAAAAATCCAGGTTTTCCATCCATGCAAGAATAGGACAATATTACAATTATTGGTAAAACGAGATTATAACACCCAAAACTTTCATCATCAGAAAAAATAAAAAAAAAAAAGGAAAAAGAAAAAGAACACCCAAAACTTATTATATTCCTCCACAACAAAGGTAGAATGGATTGATACATATTGATTAAGTAATTAAAGATAATAAATGGTTGACAACTTGAGCATGTTATTACCCCATATATCTTGGAATCTGAAATTCTCTGTTTTTGGTTAGGGACTCATATACAATACATACTAAGATTTCTCGGCAATTTCTGTTACTCAAAAGGGCAAAGTAGTAGACCATATAAGATCAAGTGAAGCTCCATAGATGGACCTCATCAGTACTATTAGAGTCCTCATTGGCATAATGTGTTGATCTATTAAAATCACATAGCTGTGGTAGTTGAAATTCATGATCAGCTGAACAGAAGGCCACACTGAAGCAAGCAAGCTGTTTGCAAGTTTCTGCTGGGCCATTAAGATGGGATGCCACCAGCCGGTCCACTGCAGTCCATTGGCTGAACCCCGGTTTGGTATGGAGAAAGGAGTTTATGGTGCTGCTGCTTTGGTTGACAGATGGCTCAGTGGCTTTGGGTTTGGCCACCTTCAGAGCTTCTATATCGATGGTGGGTTGGTAACAAGCTTGGGAGCTAGCTATAGAAGGTTGAATCCGATCCAACTCTTCTATGTTTTCTTTTCCAAGTGGCGAGAGAAGTGGGGACTCTAGTGCTTGAAGCTGCTGCGTCAATTCTTGTGGGAGCCCATTGTTGATGGCCATCTCATTCGACCAGAAAAATCTTGTGTCATTGGTGGTAGCATTAACACTGACATTGACATCTTTGTCTGTTTCGCTTTCTTGTTGGCCTGTCCTTCTCATCTGGTCCATGGATCCTTCCATACTCGAATTCGACGTGCAAGTACTCGTATTTACATCATTTGATCGCTTTTTGGGGCTTCCTAGACTTTTTTGATGGTTTTTCTGCTTGAAAACACGGCAAACCACCCATCCCTCTTCCTGCGTAGTCTCTCCCGTCGGACCAGATACCTGGGTTGTACACTGATAGTCAGACAAGATAGAGAGAGAGAGAGAGAGAGAGAGAGAGAGAGAGAGAGAGAGAGAGGATGACTTACGACGTTTGAATCAATAATGGTGTGGTCATGGAGTCTGTATTCATGCATGATCCAATGAGACTTCTGCCCATGTGGGGCTCGGCCTATGTAGAACACCAGTGTCTTCCTCAAACCAATTCGCTTGGAGTTGCTGTAAATGACCTTATCACGGCCGGTGGCCTTCCAGAACCCGGCCGCAGTGGCACGGTTGGTTCGCATCCCTGTTGGGTATTTTTTGTGGTTGTGACTGAAGAAGTACCAATCATTTTGAGGGGCGGATCCTATTTTGCATTTTTCTGCATGTACAACATATAAAGTCAAAACCACGGCCACCGCCACCGCCACCGCCACCACCACCACCACCACCACCACCATTCACAGATAAACAAAGTCATGACAATGTACAACCATGGGCCTGAAGAATAGATAATATAGAAATGTCTATATGCATACAAACAATAAGAAGACGAAGAAGAATTCTAGCTACGGTTCATGAGAAACATGTTTCACAGTACTGGTATGGCAAAGCCTGGAAATCTGACATTTGAACTAGAAATGTAGGTTGCACATGAGACCATTACAGTCTGAAGCGTACAACATTTTACAGTCGGAGAGCTTTTATGGTTCCGAGAGATACTGCTAATTAAATATGTTTCTGTATATATACACTATCGCAGAGAATTTGCAAATAGAAAGGAAAGAGAAGGTTATGGTGGGAAGAAGCACGACCTTGTATATCCCATGGCTCCAGCTTATTGAGATCCACATCTCGAATTACATCCAAGTCGATCTTCTCGTAGGCCACCTTCTTCCTTAGGTAGTAGTGCAAGAGTTCCTCTTCTGTTGGATGAAATCGGAAGCCTGGAGGGACCTGAGACTGACCATTCACCGACAGACTCATCTCTTCCTGCATTTTTGAGAGAGATTCTCGATATGAAACAAAAGAACAATAGTTTCTGCAGATAATAAGTAGGAAAGGCAGAAAAAGGAGGAATTAATGAAGAGAATGAGGAAAAGAGAGAAAAATGAGGTGGGGTTGCCTCGAGAGAGTGGTGTATCATATATATATATATATATATATATATATATATATATATATATAAGCTTGGAAATCTGGGTGAGATTCATGAAAAAGAAAAAAGAATTAAAAAAACAAAAAGGAAAAACGCTTGGTAAGCTACAACTTGCTTGGTTTTGAAAACGGCAGAAGCTAGAGGGAGGAAGAAAAAGTGTCGAAGGGAATTCACTTTTAAATGAAAGTAGGACCAACTGCCTATGGAAAACATGGCTACAGCGCTCATGTCATCTTGTCATCTTATGAAGTTTGAGATTCTCTCAGCATGAGAGTGGCGTGGCCTTGTTTACGGAATTTCCCATCTCAACTACAACTCTGGACCCTGAAGTCTTCCTGGAAATCACTTCTGAAACCACCACCATTATCCCTAAAAGACAGAGAAGAGAGAGAGAACGAATCCATTGTTGATGATTGTTGATGTTACATGTGCAAACTACCCCCGAACGACAACAAGAGACCGAGAGACAGTGACGATGGAATCGTACAATAATTTTACTTTAATTGCTGGTTAAGAAAAAAAAACACCATTGAGTTGAAGTACTACATAGAGCTTTTGACGTCATACAAACAAAACTCGTGCAAATATAAGCTTTTTATTTAATAATTTAGGTGCCGTTTGGCATCCGTGGAAAGACAAATTGAAAAGGCGAAAAGTTTCATTTGGAGTTTCTCAAAAATAGTCTGAAATGGATTTCCCGAGTCTTTTTGGGGCTACGACTTTCGATGACTAGATCTTTTCTTAACCAAACGGAAAAAAACCAAAATACGAACTGCTGGGATTCTAAAAAACCGGCAACCCACACAAAAAGATACACCAAACGGGACCAGCTTCAATCCCAGTCTGACTACATTGTGCTCTATCAACATTCATGTGTTTTCAGTCCATTTTTGGGTCTTACCACTTGCTTTTTATTTAGAGCCTTCTATATATTTAGACAGAGTTATTCCTCTCTGGTACACTCACATCAGTTTCTATATTGGATTGGATTGGATAAAGGTTTTTATATATCTCCCAAACTGATATAATTTTCCTTTATTTTTTAGGACCAACATACATCATGGTAGCTAATACTGGCAAAGTTAACCCTAAGGCTATGTTTGGTTTGAAGGAAAATATAGGGAAAGGAAGGGAAAGTTAGGAAAATCTATACAAAGTTTGTAAAAATTTTCCTACATTTTCCTTCCTTTCCCTACTTTTTCTTTCAAACCAAACACAACTAAGGAAGGGAAACCTATACAATATTTGTAAAGATTTTCCTACATTTTCCTTCCTTTCCTTACCTTTGCCTTCAAACCAAACATTGCCTAAAAGTTGAGTTTCAAATCCCTTCAAATGCAAAGAAGTTGCTTTTTATGCATACAGACAGAATTGGAATATGTTTGATCTCACATTCTCACCTTAATTACCTACACAGTACTGAATCAGCCGTTATCAAATAGCCCCTTGTACATGATCTAGGTATAGAAACAATTTGCAAACCTACTAAATGAGTTTTTAGGATAAGAGGAGAAACTGATCATAAGTTTGCATTGTTAAGGCTTAATTTGAAATGGAAGGAGTACAAATACAAATATATAAAGTGCAAAATCTTATATTTTGTATTTTTTTTATGTATTTGCACTGCACATATTTGTATTTGTAATTCTTCCAAACTGAGCCTAAGGTAATAGTGTACTTACCAACTTAATACCTGAATTGCTTAAAGGCATTAGCACATGGGAATTAGTTCATGGGTAAATTAGTTATACCTCCCTTATTAACATAGTCACCTCTTTTAAGTTGGGGTTAAGTTAATTATTTCACCCTCTTTAATAGATTAATTTTACCCTTTTCGGATCTCTTTTGTATATTATCTGGAAGAAATTAAAATACATTTACATTTCTGCCATGGTATAAAGTGGGAATGAAAAGTTGAAAAGAGGCTCAGATAAAAATAAAATGGTATTTATTATGAGATGCATGGTAAAACTGTATTAGCATTTATAAATTAAGGTACGTACTCATCAAATAAAAAATGAAAGGATTTTAGCCAATTTCAAAATATATAACTCAGAGGCAAAACTAATACTTTTGTCTATTTCAATCTCTTTCATTAGTAGTAGGACGGGGCCGATACGACAGCTCATCAAGGTGGGTCCACACTTATCTTACCACATCAGCTCTGCTCGCCAACTCACCGCCAACTACACCATTTATCATCCCTTATCCTTATCCTTATCTTATCTTATCTTAAATAAGAATTGTGTTACCATTAGGAGTTTGAGTTTAAGTTGGATTACCCTAGCCTAGCCTAATCCAATAAGGAATTTCCTTCTGTAATCTCCTATTTAAGGAGCTACGAATTGAAATAAAGGCATTCAGTTTTCCAGTCAAGAGAAGAGTGAGGAGAGTTCAGGTAGTCTCTTGGACAAATCACGCATTCGGAGAGTTCGGGTGGTCTCTTGGACAAATCACCCATTCGGTTTCCACAAAAAGGTCTGCACGCAAGGGAAGGCGCAAGGGAAAGCAAGAGGTTCTCCCCGTGGGCCCGGGTGTAGGATCTCGTCACGGGTCGTTCCACGGGGAGAACCTTTTGCTTTCCCTTGCGCCTTCCCTTGCGTGCAGACCCTTTTGTGGAAACCGAATGGGTGATTTGTCCAAGAGACCACCCGAACTCTCCGAATGGGTGATTTGTCCAAGAGACCACCCGAACTCTCCGAACTCTTCTCTTGACTGGAAAACTGAATGCCTTTATTTCAATTCATAGCTCCTTAAATAGGAGATTACAGAAGGAAATTCCTTGTTGGATTTGGTTAGGCTAGGGTAATCCAACTTAAACTCAAACTCCTAATTACCTAATCCTAATGGTAACACAATTCTTACTTAAGATAAGATAAGATGAGGATAAGGATAAGGGATGAGGAATGGTGTAGCTGGCGGTGAGTTGACGAGCAGAGCTGATGTGGTAAGATAAGTGTGGACCCACCTTGATGAGCTATCATGTGGGCCCCGCCCTACTGCTGTTGCCAGGCGGTGCGCGCGTCTCGTAGTGCTGCTGTCGTGAGGTGCGTGCTGCTGTCTAGTGTTGCTGTCGTGCGGTGCGTGTTGCTGCCTAGTGCTGCTGCCCGCTACCGGGCGGTGCGTGCTGCTGCGCGGCGCTGCCGGCAGTGCGTGTCGCTGCCTATGACTGCGCCTACTGCTTCTGTGTCTGCAACACAATAACAATCAGAAAAGAAAGACCCAATTGATTGATTTGATTATTTCAAATAGAGAACCTAAAGTTTGTGTTTAATTCACAAAATCCTCAAACAAAATATAGCTTAAAAGTTAGGAAACAAAGACTATATTAGAACAAAATTAAAGGGGAAAGCTAAAATCCCTATTTTTATTTAAACATGATCATTGAAGTGAACCGAGGTATATTATCAGGCCTATCGTGTGGGCCAGGCCAGGCCCAATTGTAATTTGTGGAAAAATGGTGAAGGGGTGTGAAATTTTTTACCAGTTATTCAAGCAATGTTCAAAGTATCAATACACGCTGATACGCCAATAGGGCATATCGGTCTGTATTGGTACTTTTTTTAAGTTTCATTTATTTATTTTAAAACTAGTTTAGAGGGTCAATTTAAGGCTCGACTACCCTCAGAACTATAGTCTGACCTGATACAACCCCTGGAAGGATATATCAGAAAGCCATCAGCACGATACGTATTAGCCAATACGGGCCGATACTTTAAACCTTGGATTCAAGATTCCAAACCTTTATGTTGTGGAAAATCGGTTGTGTCATTTAAATTATGAGTAGAGAGTTTGGTCGGTGCCGCAGTTTGAGTCTAGATTTCCTCCAATTTTTTTCCTATACTAACCAATCACTATGTAACCATATGGAATGTCAAATTCTCAAATACGACTTTCTTTGTCGAGGGTTAACCCCTTTTTGCTATAATAGAAATACTAGCAGAGGGGGCCTTGCATTGCAAGGGCTCGTTCATAAACTATCAGGCTCGAGCTTGAGCTCAAGTCAAAAGCCCAGAAGCTCGAGCTCTCTTAAGCAGCCGAGGTGCCAAACTGAGGTCTCCCTCAGCTACTAAAGTGTCGAGTTAAGGTTTCCCTAATAGGTGAGGTGTCGAGCTAAGGTCTCCCTTAGTTGACAAGGTATCGGGCTGAGGTCTCCCTCAGTTGTTGAGTTGTTGAGCCGAGATCTCTCTCGGTAATCGAGGTGCCGAGCCAAGGTCTCCCTCAGTGGTTGAGGTGTTGTCTAGCTTGAGCTCGATTCGAATTACAGACTTGGGCTTGAGCTCAGAAGTTCGAGCTCGACTTAGCTCGAACTCGACTACCTTTGATTGTAGGTCCCCTAGTAGTCGAGATGCTAAGTTGAGGTCTCCCTCAATTGGAGTGAGAGTGGAATTTTTGTAATTTATAAGGAGAGAGAGAGATGGCAGGAGAAAGAGAGAGAGAGTTGGTAGGAGAGAGTGTGGCATTTTTGTAATTTGAAAGAAAAGCAAGAGAGAGAGAGTTGATGAGAGAGAGTGGCATTCTTATAATTTCTATGAAGAAAGGCAAAAAATAGTGTTAGATTCCATTTCCCTCATCCTCAGGCCTTTTTAAGTACACATTTCAGCTTAATATATTCATATAGATCAAATTCAGACCAACCAAAACTACCCAATAATTATAAAATAAATATACAATAATACTCCATCAGAACTCATCTTCACAAGTTCCAGCTGCCGAAGGGAATAATGAAACAACCAAAGAAAGATAAATAAAAGTACAAAGAAAAAAATTAAGGGGTTTATTTTTATAGTTCAGTCCACCCCTAGGGTGGAGCTAGGATTTCTAGGGGTGGACTGAATCCTACCGTGGATTGATGTCAAATTCACAGGCAGGAAGCGGTTTATAAGGAGGGGAGGGGTACTAATAGACTAGGAGAGGACTGCAATTCAGATTTCTGAGGTGGAGT